ATCAATTCTATTATAGATAAATGCATTAAGAAAGTTTTCTAGATCCTGCTGGACATCAGTCCTTTAATCCTGGAGATGTTCTTCAGGTGATCAAAGGCTGATTTAGTAACTGCCTTTCTGAGCCTCTGATGGTTCAGGTCCGTCATGATTTCAGCCATAATCAGTGGTTTCCAGCTGCAGCAGCTGAAGCTGGGATCTAACTCTGGATCTCTGCTCCTTTGGTCCGAAGATTATTACCTCACTTTGGTTTTTATTCGGTTATAGAAAATGATGGTTCATCCACATATTGATCTGTTCTCAGCATCTAACCAACGCTCTGATGGGTTCATGTTGACCTGGTGACATTGAATGTAAAGCTGTCTGTCGTCTGCATAGTGATGCTAACTGATCTGGTTGTTTGCTATAATCTGAGCCAAGCATGTAGATGTTGAGCATGTAGCTGTTGAATAGGAGTGGCCCCAGAATGGAGCCTTGAGGGACCCCACATTTGATTTTCCTGGTCTCTAATTTAAAGTTCCCCATCAATAAAATTCAGTGATCAACTGTGGAAACACTGTTTAGCAGTTTCAACCTGATCCCCATCATCTGAGGTAGAACCGATCAAATCTGATTGAATTTAAAGATCTGCAGCTTCAAATGAACAAACATATGTGTGAAAACTCAAGTGACTAAATATTTTAGTGCTTAAATAAAGTGAGACATAAATTGTGTTCTTGAATCTAAGCAAAACTTTGCACTTTCCTCTGTGTCAACAGAACAAGTTGGACAAACAATGAAGCTGGAAATAAGGTAAAAACAATGACGTCCTTTTTCTGAAGCTATGACCTATAATCATCCCAGCTCAGATGTTTCTGTGGTTCTGTGTCAGCAGCAGCTGTCCCACACCGGGATGTGATGGCAAAGGTCACGTCAGCGGGAGATATTCACGGCACAGAAGGTAGGATTCATCACTTCCAGTCCTGGTGAACAGGTAGTGTTTGCTCACATTAACTATTCACTCACTTTTTCCCAAAGGAAGCAGAAAAGAAGTGGCACCCGATAGGATTGATCATCAGCTTCATAAATGCGTTCAGATTCTATCTATAGTTGTTCTTCTTGTTCTCTGGGAACCTGATTGGAGAACCTAAATGCTTTTTGCAAAGGAAGAATAATACTAAGAGGGCATGTTGAGAGTGATCTACAAAGATCCAGAGCGATGAATAACAGCGTATTCCAGTAAAGTCAGTAGTGGAGTGGTCCCTGGAGCAGTGGGGATACTCACCATCTTTTCTAATGCAGCCCAGAAACAAGGACCTGTCAGAATCTCTGTGTCAGGATTTGGTTTAGGATAGTTAAGGACCCAAAAGCATAGGCAGGCAGGCAGAGGTGAATTTTAAGTAGATTTAATGATGAGTACTAAAACTCCAAAGTCCAAAACCACAGGCAACAGGAATCCAAAATCCAAAAGAAAACAAA